ATCTGGAACATGAAATATCTAAAGGGTAAATTTAATAAAATATGTGCAGGTACAAATAAGAAAATAGCAATTATATGTAATCCCTTTGCCCAGAGTTAGACAGTTATATTTTGATGTAGACTGATTCCTATGTATAATCTTATATGCACACAAAGTTGGAATCTCTTAAAGATTTATTTTACTTTGCCTTCACCTAACTGTATTAATTTACCCTCACCTAACAATATTTTATGGATATCTTTCTGTGACAGGAATCATAAATTTCCATAACTTAAAAAATCATTTTATTGACTGCATAATATTTCATTACAACACAGTTCATTTACTTTTTAAAATCTTTTAAAAACTAAGACGTATAAACATATCCAAAAAAGTATATAAAACAAAAACATGCAATTTAGTAGATTATCATTAAATGAACATTAGTCTGTTATTCAGGTGAGGAATAAAGCATTGTTGTTACCCTGGAAATGCCTCCCTACGCCCTTTTCCAACCAATCCTTTTCTCTCTTAGAGGAAACCACTGTTCTGACTTTATGGTAACCACTTCTTACCTTTTTTCCTTTAGTTAACCATCTGGGTATTCATCCCTACATCATATAATTTACTGTATTAAAACAAACCTTTATATTGTATAATGGAATAGTTGGGTGTCTTTTGTCCTGTTCCTGGGTTATTTTGCTTTATGTGTATTTAAGATAATGCACATTGTGTGAAGTTGTAGTTTATTTGTGTTGCTATGACATACTCTACACTGTGAATATACTACACTTATTTATTCATTCTGCTTTTGATGCGTATTTGCTTTTCCATTTTTGGGCTATTATGAATTGACGAGGCCCGCTCGTCTGCCGTGGCCATCTGGCTCGTCAGCCAGGCACTAGAGGGTTAACCTGAGTGGACTGGATGAGGAGATTAGAAAAGAAAGACAGAGAGACGAAAATTGGGCTCAGGAGGTCCACTGCCCGCTGATGGCAGAGAGTGGCCCCGTTTATTATTTGCACACAGCTTTTATAGCAAAAGTAGTTTTCCTTAGGTAAGGAGTTTTGGGAGCTTGAGAGAGTGGGGAAGCAAATGTTCCCGAAGCGAGACAAAGTATAGCAAGTAGAAACTGCTAACAGGCTGGCAGTTCATTCTGTAACTTTCAAGGTTGTCTATGACATAGGCTTGTTCTTTCTTCAGTTGCACAGTGGAGAATGAGATCCCACGCTGCTCACCCGGGCCTGAGAGCCTATCAGCTTGCCAGCTGCTAGGCTTAACCCTTACTGCAGACCTCCAGCTCTCAGGCTTAACCCTTACTGCAGACCTCCTGCTCTCCACAATGAATAATGTTGCTCTGTGCTTATATGAATAATGCTTGTCCATGTTTCCTTGCATGTATGTTTCTCCAGGGCATTGGTCTGAGAACTGGAACATTCCTATCACCTGGAAACTTGTTAGAAATGCAGATTTTGGGGACCCACCCCAGACTTATGAATCAGAAACTCTAGGGTGGTGCCTAGTAATTTGTGTTTTAACAAGCTTTCCAGGTGATTCTCGTGAATGGTATGGTTTGAAGTCCATTGCTCTCAGGTTGGGGGTCAGCAAAACTGCCCATGGGCCAAATCCTGGCTGCTGGCTGTTTTTGCATGGCCTGTGAACTAAGACTGTTCTTTACATTTTAATTTTACTTAATTTTATTTATTATATTTTTTATCACCCCCCCCCTTGCATTTTTGAATAGTTGAAAAAAATTAAAAGAGGAATAATTTCTTGGTACAGGAAAATGATATGAAATAGAAATTTCAGAGTCCATAAGTAAAGTTTTATTGTAACATGGGTGTGTCCATTTGTTTACATATGGCTGTTTTCTTGCTGCAGCAGAAAACTATGTACTTGTGACAGGGACCTTAGAGCTCGCAAAGCCTAATATATTAACTATTTGGGCTTATGTAGTAAAAGTGTGCTCATCTCTGCTCCAGTGTAGATACCTAGGAGTAAAACTGCCAGGTTATATGATATATTTACCTTCAACTCATGAGATAATACCAAATTTTCAGCAAGTTACACCAGTTTACAGTCCTGTCAGCAGGTTATGAGAGTTCCCATCGTTCTACATTCTCATCCGTATTATCCAACTTAATTCTGGTTGTCCTGGCGGACATGTAGTAGTATCTTCATTATGTTATTTTGCCTCCAAATTTGTAATGTGAAAACTTCAAACATACAGAAAAGTCGCAAGCATTTTATAGTGAATATCCACATGTACTCACCACCCAGATTCTACATTTTACTATACTTATTTTATCACATGTTATCCATTCCTTTACCTACCCACCATCCACTTCAATATAAGTAGCAGAAATCAGAGCTTTTCCCACCAAATACTGCAGCCTGCATATTATTAACTAGAGTTCAATGCTTGTTAACATTTCTCTTTAAGGTAGAATTTACATACAATGAAATGCACAAATCGTAAGGGTACCATTTATGAGTTCTGACAAATGAATACACTTGTGCAACTCAAATTTATTAAAAGATACAGAACATTACTATCACCCCTAAAAGTTTCCTCATGCTCTATCTGAATAATCTCTATCCCTGCCCTCCAAGTGGTTATCCCCACCTCCAAGTGGCTGTCTCAGCAACCACACTCAAATCTTTTTCTACCATATTAGTTTTGCCTGTCCTAAAAACCTTCATATAAATAGGATCATATAAGTCTTTTCCTTTTTCTTGGGTAAATAAATAGGAGTGGGATTACTGTGTCATTGGGGCAGATATTTTTAGTCTTACAAGAAACTGCCAGATCTTTTCCCCAACTTTTTATGCCCACCAACAATATATGAGAGTTCCAATTCTTCAACACCCTCACCAACATTTTTTTCCCATTTTTAGTGTTAACCATTGTAATGGCTGTGTAGTGTTATGTCAGTGAGGTTTTCACTATGGTTTTAATTTGTACTTACCTAATGATTAAGGAGATTGAGCATCTTTTCATATATTTATTGGCCCTTTGAATTTTATCATTTTGTAAAGTGCCTGTTCATGTCTTTTGCTCATTTTTCTATTGGATTAACTGTCTTTTTCTTAGTTCTGTCTTGTCTCTTCTTGGCCCTTTGCATGTCCATATACATTTTAGAACCAACGTGTAAATGTTCATACACAGAGACATAGACACATACAAAAGCTACTGTGATTTTGTTTGAGAGTGTATTGAATCTATAGCTTGATTTGAGGAGAGTTGGTACATTTACAGTATTAAGTCTTCTGATGCATGTTTATGGAATATCTGTTACTTAGTTTTTCTCCAGTTTCCCTCAGTAAGTTTTAGTTTATTTGCGGAGTCCTTGCTAATCTTTTGTTAGAGATTTATTCCTAGGTACTTGATATAATAGTTTCAATCCTGTTGTAAATGTTACCTTTAAAAAAAAAATCACATTATTGAACTTGCCTGTTGGCTTATGGAAATACAACTGATTTTTCTATATTTGACCTTGTATCCAGAAACCTTGTTTAATTAGGTCAATAGGTCTAAGAATTTATCTGTGGATTCTTTTGTTTTTTCTGAGGATACTGATTATATAGCCTGTGAATGATGACAGTTTTGTTTTTTGTAATCCTTTTTTTTTTGGGGGGGGGCGGGTTTATGTATCTAGTTCTCATTCATGGAGTCTTGTTCCCTTGTGTGCTTTGTTACCTTTGTGTACTGGAAATTGTATTTGGAAAGTTATTTGGAGGACTATATTGAGGCCTAGGAGGATTATATGTTTCTCCATAAGGTTTTCATTTTTTTCTTTCATGGGTCTGAGAGCAATGTTAGTTCAGGAAATGTTAATTAAATCCAGAATCTGAGGTCCGTGGCCAACTAGATAATTGGAAACTGGACTGTAGATCCATAGACAGCTGATAAACTTCTGGCTCACTCCTACGTAAGTCCTTCAGGGTCCTAGAGAGGAGGGATGTTTATCTACTTTTGGCAGAGTCTCTTTAAAGCTGCTTCCCCAGAATTAGCAAATATAAAAGTGGGCTTTAAATGACTGGTCTTGACTGTTGGCCTGGCAGTCTCTAAGTAACCTATGAGATCTTTGATGCAGGTGGGTTGGTCTAAATTACCTAGTCCACTTTAACTGATACCTAAGGTGTTTCTTTATGAATCCATTGAGTTTTTAATTTCTGTCCTTGAGTTTTTTGTGTTTCTAGAATTTCTTCCTTTCCTTCTCCCTCCCCTTCCCTTTCCCCATCCATTTTTTTTCTTTCTCAAACAGCTTTTTATGGTTTATCATTCATACAGCTATCATCACACTTGTCTTTTATTTCTTTAGACACCTGTATGCTTTGAGTCTTTTTTTGATTACTAGTACTTATATCCTACTACTGAGGGGTTTACTGAGAGTAACTCAGATGTCAAAAGATGTAAATATTTCCCACAGTTTGTCATTTATATTTCATCTTCATTTATAGATCTTTTATTTTTCTGTATAGAAGTTTAAAATTTTTATTTCTTTAGGTCTATCAGTCTTTTTAAAGCCATGATAGTCTGAGATAATAGATTTATAGTTGTTCCTAGCAAAACTCGTATTTTACGTTTGGAGTGGTTTTATGTGTCTAGAAAATTGAGAAATAGTTAAATCACTCTTAACTGCAAATAGGCATTTTAATAATAGTTAACGTAACTCTTGAATTGGGATAATGTTCGCCTTTTGCTTATATTAACCTGAGTTTTTATTGTAATTCCTTTCCTTTTACATTATGGTACTTTCTGTTTCTACTACTGTTCTTTTGGTGTATGTCCTCAGAAATTGGCAGAGTAGAAATTTGAAAGTATATTGAATTTAAATTTTCTTCCATATTTTGGCTTCATTAATAATAATGATTTAGTAATCATGTTAGGAATGATTTGAGATAGCAGGGTTAAAAAGTTTTATAAAAATATAGAATCTTCACTAAAACAGGAAAGTATTTTATTACAACTGAAGACTTTTAATTTCTTCAATGGTACAAAATATGTTTCCTTTTAGATAAAGGATGAAGAGAAGACTCTCCGAGAAAAGGAGATTATTGCTTCATCACCCAGTTTAAGTGGGACTAAGTTGGAGTTGGAGTCAGTGTATAAGGTATGTAAACTTTTGAAATACTTATGAGGTTTTGTTAACTATATCACACAGAGCTTTATATACCTATTTTATTAACCCATCTGTATAGCCTCTTGTCACAACAGCCTCTCCCTGCCCTGCACAGGTATTCGTCTTCACCCCACTGAAAGTGTGCTAATGTTCTGTGTTGGGCAGTCCTCCTGCACAGACACCCTCCTAACCCTGCTTGGGCTCTGACCCCCCTATAGTAGGCCCTTGTCTAAGAGGAATTCTCTCCTCACAGTGCATAGACCTTTATACTATACTGCACTGGAGGCCGCCCTCCCGTCACTTGGTTGGCGCCAACACCTGGTCTGGATCACTGCCCTGCGGAAGTCTTTTCCATTCTGGGCTCTGACCGCAGGCTTGGACCATTTCCGCATGTGAGCATGGTCTCCTTCCACTGGGGCCCTGACACTGTCCGCCTGCTTGCTCCCTTGTGACAAGACCTTCTTGAACCTCCCTAGGTGCTAGCGTCTTGCCCTGGGCCACATCTGCTGCCGTCTACCCCTTAGCAAATACCTGCTTGGCTTGAGCTAATTAGTTTCAGAAGGGAAGAGGAGAGAGCTGTTTATTTTAAAATTTGATAGCAGCAGCACCACTACTTCCTTTGAAAAGTTGTACTCATTATTATTGTTGAGTGCCAGTAGTTTAAAATCCTGCTTCCGCGTCAGACCGAATTCCTGCTTCCCGGTTTCTACCAGTTAGGCCATCGTTCAGTCAGCCTTCCAAACGTAGAGTGTCGGAATCAATGTTTCTCTCCCCACACCACACATTTCCCGTTACTCTGCCTTCACATCATCTTTGGCTTCTGCTTGGGCATTTTTATTTTTACGGTGCCCACCCTAGTAAGCTAGAATCGTGGAATATTAGAGCTAAAGAACCCCTAAAGGTCATTTAGACCATCCCTTCTTCCCCTTTCTGGATTTTATAGATCTGGCCGCTGAGGTTTAGAACCCTTCATTAAATGTACTGAAATCATAAGTCTTGTAAGTAACAGAGCTTGGAGTAGAACGCCCGTTTCCATACTTCTATCTCCTTTTCTTGCCTGGATTATTGAAATAAACTCTCTTACCTCCTCCTTTCATATGTCGTGTGAGAATTACCTGTTTGGTGCAGTGTCACACACGTACTGCCCTGTAGAACTGTTAGACTTTCCATGTATGTCTGTCTTGTTTTCTCAATGAAGCGATGGCCTCCTTTAGGACAAGGACTGTGTTATAGTTGTAGGAATCTGTAAATTAATAAAAAGACGGTTAAAAATCACACGATCACCAGAGGGTATGGGGGGAGGGGGGTGGTAGAAGAGGGTAAAGGGGGTCAAATATATGGTGATGGAAGGAGAACTGACTCTGGGTGGTGAACACACAATGTAGATATATAGATGATGCATTACAGAATTGTACACGTAAAACCTATGTAATTTTACTAACCAATGTCACCCCAATAAAATTTAATTAAAAAAAAATCAAGGGCTGGCCGAGTGGCTCAGTTGGTCACAGAGCTCGCTGAAGAGTTTGAGCTCTGAGCAACAGCGGTTCGACTCCTGGCCTGAGCTGAGCTGCCCCTGAGCTGCCAACAGGTGGCAGGATGGCTCAGCTAAAAAAAAAATCATGCGATTTGTTTATTAAGTGATGTCATTGGATCTATTAAAGAATGTTGGGCATAGATTTAACTCTTCCCTAAAAAACTGGGCAAATAGGCAATTTGAGGATTATTTTTTTAACCTAATTTTCACCTCATTTTTAAAAAGGAGAAAAACTATTGGAGAGTAAGGATGATTTTCACAGTTTACTGATACATTCTGCTGATATCTTAAAATTTTAGTATAGTTCATAGGACTTTAAAAGTGTATGTTTAGTAGTAGTTTTTAAAAAAATATTTACTGACAAGTGCTTATTTTAATAGCAAAACTGAATGCTTATTATTTCCATTTCTTAGTGTTGAGATTAGCTTTTGCAATATATTTCTCTAAAGGAAGAATGGAAACAGATGAAGAGATTTGTATTACTTGCTGGTAATTTTCAGCACTGAACATATTGTATACACATTAGCATTCTACTTGATGCAGAATAAAATGTGGAGTATATTATATGAGAAGAATGCAATGTGCTTAGAGGGCTTGAGTTGGGAGTTTGAAATCCTGGGGGGTTATAATTTGTAAACTCATGAGTTAAGTAAAAATAAAGCATTGTAATTTGGATTATTGTTGTTATTTTTCAAAACATCTACTGTGAAACGAATACGTTTTTGGACTGTCACTTCTTCCTAATGCTAATTAGTTTTAAGGAGTACAAATCTTTCTTTCTTTCTTTCCTTCTTTTCTCTCTTTCTTTCATCTTGCTGGGATTAATGAATTTCTCATAGGAAGAATTTTATTTAAGCTTAGTAAATATGAAGACTTAGGAGGATTTCAAAATGGCAGACACTGCTTATTTTCTGTTTCACTCTGAATTCAGATCCCTTTTGCTGATGCTCTGGATTTGTTCCGAGGAAGGAAAGTGTATTTGGAAGATGGCTTTGCTTATGTACCACTTAAGGACATTGTGGCAATCATCCTGAATGAATTTAGAACCAAATTGTCTAAGGCTTTGGCAGTAAGTATTTCACTCATTACCATATTTCCGTAGTCACTCTGTTTCCACATATTCAGTTATACACCCTTGGTAGTTTTGTTCTTTACTTCTTAAGGAATAAATTAATTTAATTTTCTGAATGATAGTCAAATTGCTTTTGATATTGTACAGGTAATTCTGTCGATAGAACTGTGACATTTTTATTTGTTACTACTTATAGTTAGTTTTCTTATTTTTTCTTTTTCTTAGTAATACTAATGGTGAGTTGATTAATTTTGTAAGTGGCCTCTGTGGGTTTCTTCAAGGTCATGTCTTTTTGTTTGGAGATGGATTTCATAAAAGGACCTTCACAATTAGAGTGGCCTGTGGTAGATGTAACCCTTATTTCTGTTTTAAATTGGTATATTGTGTCAGTAGAGGGCAATGTAGAAGAAAAGTCTTTGTATTAAGTACTGAAAACAGGAATACGATAGTGCTGCAAGAAACAGCCCACTGCTGGGTGAAATTGGTGGTAGCTGTGTTGAATAAATAACATGATCAGTGCTTTTTAAGACATTTGTTAAAAGTGTTACACTTAGGTGTCACGTCTTAAAAATACACACATTTTGCAGTGTTGCCTCTTAATCCGACTATAGTTCTCTTTATACTTTTTGGTATTTAACGCAAAAGAGAGCTTCAAAGCTATGTGATGCGGTTCTTTTTAAGTTATACTGATTACAGTATAAGCATAGGCCAACTTTTCCTTTTGAGTTAAAAATTGTAATATCTTTTGGTATAAATCATTGGTATTACTGACTCTCCTGGGTTACCTAAATATGTATAATTCAGCCAAATCAGCATTCGGGAAGACCCAAATGTTAACTCTGGTTTTATTAAATAAGACAGTTTATGAAAGTATCTAGGATAATAGGTGTTTCATAACTTACTTCCTCCCTTCCTAATCCTATGTTTTTTTTTTTTTTTTAAATCCTCAGTAAAGTTGATGTTTTTCAATAGTTTCTTTACTTGTCTGTGACTTACCCTGGACCATAATCTAGTTACAGAAAAGATAGTATCTTTCACTACTTTGAATCTCTGTAGCAGACACTGATGTTTGCCTGTTGGCTGGCCATTCCCCTTGTTTTTTTTATAATAATTAATTTTTTTTCACCTATTTTCTCTCTGTTGGCATTTTGGACAACACTTCTTTATGTGAAACAGCCATATACTTTGCAGGACATTGGGCCTCCCTAACTCTCACCCACTAAATGCCAGGAGTGGCCCACAGCTCTCATGACAACCAGAAATATCACCATACAATTCAGAAAGCTTCTGGAGTGTTGGAACCATCCCCAGGCTGATCGTGGTGTTGTCCTCCTTTCCAAATTGTTGGTGTAGACATGTGATACAGTGTAATTCTGGCTGAGAAATATGAGAAGTTGTTTGGGGTCTTTTGAAAAAAAGCTTTCCTTGCTAATAAAAATGGGCACTTTTTTTTTAATATTTTGTATATTTGCTGTTCAATTTATCTTTCTAATAATGTAATGTACAAAGGAGGATATGTGGTAAATTTTGCAAATTTTAGTTTGTTTCTATTTTTGAGCAGAAGATGGGGATCTATTAATACATATACTGAGATTAAAGACAAAACTGTTAATTCCTAAGTTAGTAATAAATTCATTTTTTCAGCAAATTGCATTTAAGCTCTGTATCTTGTTGGTAAGAAACATAGCATGTAAACTTTGAATTTCTTTCTCCTCCCCTCTCTCCTGCTCATTTTTCCTCCCTCCAACATACTTTAAGAAATTGTAAAATAATTTTTAGAATATTGAAATAATCACAACCTTACAGAAAAGTTGCACATAGAAAACAATAACTTTTCCCCTACACCATTTGAAAATAAGTTCCCAACTTGATGTCTTATCACCCCAGTACTTTAGTGTGTAATATCTACAAACAAAGATGTCCTCCCCCGTAACCACAATTCAACTGTCCAAATGAGGAAAGAAGCATCAATACATGATTCCCGTCTAATCCTCAGACCCCATTCAAGTTTTACCAGTTGTCTCAGTCATGTCCTTTATTTTGTCCTAAATCACAAGTGTTACATCTTTTCAGTTTCCTTTAGTCTGGAACAAGTTTTTAGTTTCCCCTTGACTTTCATGACATTGTTACTTTTGAAGATTCTAGGCTAGTTATTTTGTAGAATATCTTTCAATTTGGGTTTGTCTGATGTTTCTGCACGTTTAGATGCAAGTTACACGTCTTGAGCAGGAATACCAAAGAAGGCAGGGTATATTCTTTCCATTGCGTCCTGTCAGGATGCATGATGTTGATTCATCCCAATTCTGATTGACTTTATTTAACAGTTTATTTACCCATTCTGTTGTTGATATGCATTTGGGTTTTGTTTTCTTTCTTGTGGTTATTACTAAAACTGACCATCACTGGCAAACACATTTCTGTTGGTTCTATGCCCAGGATTGAAATTGCAGGGCATACAATTCCAATGTAGGGTAGTCTGTGTTCTGTTATAGTGGATTCAGACTTATGAATTTTTCCTGATTGCCAGTGGGTTGTGGAGAGCTCTGGCTGGCCTCCATGACTTTGGATGTGATGGAAGAAGGACAGTGACTTGCTGCTTCAGGCAGCACTTGGCTTTCTCCTGGGTGGGTCAGGGCCAAGTCTGGTTGGGAGGTTGTCCAGAGAACCCTTTGCCTTGTCATGCAGGAGAGTCGATGGAGTCTGTTGCCTGGAAACCTGTTCTGACAACTGTGGGAGGGAGCTGGAAGGGAGGGAGGGGATTTTTTTAGGGCTATGGCAAAGGAAAAATCTAAACCTAATGCTATAGTCTCTTTATTACTGTCCTTTCCAGGGAGGAAGATTTTGACCTTGGAGTATGGAATGGAAATATTTCAGTCTTATTAATGGAAACATTCCTGTTGGATGAGAAAAATTGCCCTAAAGATGAAAAAAATTTTTTTAAAATTAGTGGTAGAGGATGAAATAAATGGTGCTGGGGGAAGTCTAAGTTGTTAGAAGAGTGATTTTTTTCCCTGTGTGTTTATTTTTCAATTACAATTGACATTCAGTATTATTTTTATATTAGTGTCAGGTGTACAGCATAGTGGTTAGACATTTATATATTTTATGAAGTGATCTCCCGATAAGTCTAGTGCGTACCTGGCACTATACATAGTTATTACCATACTATTGACTATATTCCATATGCTGTACTTTACATCCCTGTGACTGTTTTGTAGCTACCAGTTTGTACTTCTTAATCCCTTCCCCTCTTTCTCCCAGCTCCCCAACCCCACTTCCATCTGGCAACCATCAGTTTATTCTCTGTATCTATGAGTCTGTTTTCGTTTTGTTTGTTCATTTATTTTGTTTTCTAGATTTCACATTAAAGTGAGAGTATATGGTATTTGTCTTTCTCTGTTTGACTTATTTCACTTAGCATAATACCCTCTAGGTCCATCCATGTTTTCGCAAATGGTAAGGTTTCATTCTTTTTTATGGCCAGGTAATATCCCATTGTATATAGATGTACCACATCTTTATCCAGTCGTCTGTTGATGGACACTTAGGTTTCTTCCATATTTTGGCTATTGTAAATAACGCTGCAGTGAACATAGGGATGCATATATCTTTTTGAATTAGTGTTTTAGATTTCTTTGGATAAATACTCAGAAGATGAATTGCTGGATCATAAGGTAGCTCTGTTTTTAATTTTTTGAGGACCCTCCATACTGATTTCCATAGTGACTACACCAATCTGCAAATCCACCAACAGTGTACAAGGTTCCCTTTTCTCCACATTCTTGCCAACACTTGCTGTTTGTTGATTTATTGATGATAGACATTTTGACAAGTGTGGGGTGATACCTCATTGTGGTTTTAATTTACATTTCTCTGATGATTAGTGATGTGGAGAATCTTTTCATGTACCTGTTTGCCATTTGTATGTCTTCTTTGCAAAAAAGTCTATTCAGGCCTTTGCCCATTTTAAAATTGGTTGTTTGTTTTTTTTTTGCTATTGAGTTGTATGAGTTTCTTATATATTTTTGGATAAGAACATCTTATTGCTTATGTTGCAAATATTTTCTCCCATTCTGTAGGTTGGTTTTTCATTTTGTTAATGATTTCTTTTGCTGTGCAAAAACTTTGTTAGAAGAGTTTTATCCCAGGTTATATCTGAAAGCTTGTTCTTGACCTGCAATCATGTGATTTTTATGATAATATAACCAATCTGACTTTTAGACATGTTCTAGGACTAGTAAAAGATGGACAGTACCTTCTCATTTGTTAAGACCTTTATTTTATTTTATTTTATTTTATCACCCTATTGATCCTTTGACACCCAGCTGTGGCCCCACTTCCTCCTGGAAGCCTCCCATAAGCCTCAAAATTGTGCTAAGTGTATCTCTTTTGTTGCTCCCACAGCACTCTGCACACTATCAAACTATGATGATACTATTCTGATCATGTGTTTTCCTCCTCAACTAAAATGTAAGGTCTTTGAGAATAAGTGTTCTGTCTTAATTTAAAATTTCCTATCTAGTGTAGGATCTAGCACATAGACCAGTGCTCAGTAAAGTTTTGTTGAACTGATAGGTACTGAATAATAATAATGACTTCCACTTGTTTTTAGTTTACTATTTATGCATTATCTCCTTTGATCTTTACCAGTAGCCTCTGAGATAGACAGGGATTACAATCTGCATTGTACTGGTGAGGAAAATGCAGCTTGGAGAGGGTAAGTAATTGATCCAAGGTTATGTTGTCTAGTAATTAACTGGAGCCATAACTGGATCTCAGGTTTTTCAATTGTACTTCTCAGGATCTTTTGATAACTGTTCCTGTGTAAGGAGTTGTATTATCAGGGGATTTAGATCTTAAAACTCTGAGAAAATATTGGAAGGTAGTTATATTAGGGTCTAGTTACAGAGCAGGCAAAAAGGGTGAACTTGGAGCTGAGATGCAATAAATAGATAACCAGTTACAGAAAAGAATGAGGGTTAGATTTATTTTTTTGC